GTGGTGGTGTAGTAAAGCTGCACGACGAGATATTTTGACTTGTAGTGGCGTACTGGTTGCTATGAAGCACTTTATGTGGTAGTTGCCGTTGTTTTGGTCGTTAGAAATATATTTTAGGACATTGTTTATTGGTTGCCGTAGTTAGTTGTGGTTGCCGTTAGTTGGTGGCGTGATCCAGGTGACTGTTAAAGTTTAGTTTAGTAGCGTTGTTTGAACATTGAGCTCCTTTAGGATGGCAGCGGCTGAAATGCTGGAAATGTAAAATAGTGCTCCAAATTTGAAAAAGTGCCAAAAAAGTGCCCAGCGCAATTGAGTTGGGCCTAAAAAAGTTGCTAGCCTAACATCTAAGCTCATCATTCCAATTAAGTGCTTGTTTGAAAATTAGACTGAAAATTAAACTGGTTTGAAAATTTCAACCAAGTTTGAAAAATATGAACCAGTTTGAAAAATTTAAACTGGTGTAAAAAAAATTAAACAAAAATAAATTTAAACCATAACATTTATATTAATACGAGAAATTTTACATCGGGAAAGGCGAAGTCTGCCGTGAAACATTCAGCAGCCTGTAAATCACCAGATTAGCAGATAAATGGAAAAGAAGGAAAGGGGAAATAGCCTTTGAATAAATCCTAATTGGCAAGCCAAGCCGATTTCAGATATTGTCATATTTGGGGCTGCCACATCAGAAATTAGTGATCAAATTCGCAGGAAATTCTGCAGCAATCACCTTGTGGATCGTTGACTTGTTTTTAAAAATCACATTTTTGTGGATAACTTGTTCGCATTTTAAGTTTTTAAAATAATCCTTTTAAGAAAATTTAGATTAAGTAGTAGTTTTGAATTTGGCGCGAAAAAATATTTTGGACAAAATCAGCCCTTGAAGGTCTAGAGTAACCTTAAGGTTTTCACAAGGGAAAAGTGGGACATAATTAAAGTGAATGGTCTTAGTTTCCATAGCATGAGGATGTAGATCAAAAAAGCAAGCCATTTGTTTCAGTAACTTATGATATTATTTTTTTTTCAAACAAGGATTCAAGTCTGCAAGCAAGTGGATTCAAATTCTCAAGACAAAGCCGATTCCGAAAGGTAGGATGCTGCCACTGTCATTTTAATAGAGTTTGATGTTGATAACAATTACATTTTTTAATTATAATGTTTTTATTGTGATGATTTTCAGGTTACCCAGAAGAAAGGAAGTGCAACAAAGAGTGCACGAAAGAAAAGAAGATCTAGCTTTGTCCGCGGGAGAAAGGAACGCAAGTCCCTTGTCTTCTCATCTGTTCCTTCAGCAAAGTCTGGTTAGTTTTTACCTCTTGTTACCATGGTGACTGGAGTTTTATGTCAGCAGTTCTGCATTTCTGTTGTAAAGATCAATTCACATTATTTACAAAGCAAGAGCATGGTTAACCATGGCCAAGTTTCTGGGGTTAATGGGTCACCCCTCATGACTATAGGTGAGGGTTAATGTATGTTTTGATTTGGACAGAGCATTGTGGCCTTGAAGTGGCCATAATTTGTATTTAATGTGTTGTGACATTTACCTGCTACAGCATCTACACAAGTTTAATTTATCTTTGGTAGAAATTGATTCAAGTTAAGACAAAATATCCTAGATCACAAAACAAATTACATGGAAAGAATAAGATTTAAGGGCTAATGCAAAATAAAAACCTTACAGAAAGTTGTATTTGGTATATTTCTCCAAATTTAAGACGAGCTAATTTCTAGAAGGACAGTCAAACATACATGTATGACACTTAGACTTTTGACAAATTACAAGTGGTTACAGCTGTAACACATGACACATACAAAGCATCACATGGTGGAACACACAATTTTTCTGATCTTTTTTTATCAAGTTAAACAAAATTTAATATTGAGTGGTTTGAAGCTTCTTCAAGCTTTAGGCAGCTGGATGGTCCAGCTGGGCTGTGTAGAAACCTCATGTCACAAGTTTCAATTCTAAATGGCAGACACTTTCAAATGCCGTCAAATGTGGATAAACAATATTATAACAACTGAAAAAAGATGAACAGTAGCCAGGAGAAAACATTAAAAATTTATGTAAAAAAAACGTTCACTTACTGTACATGTGTTCTTTTATAGTCCCATCTATTTTTGCATACAACTATTTGTAGTTATCATTTTCTCCATTTTTTTTTCCATTTTTATCCATCAAAGGCTGTAGTCTGTCAGCCGAAAGCTCCAAAGTTTTAACGCTATATAGTCAGTTACAAACGTTTTTTTATAAATATTATAACAATCTGCAAAGGTCCTGAGGACGACTTTTGAGGAGGAAAATGATCCGAAAGGTATCTCAAGTAACTAAGAAAGAGTTTCAAGGTTTTTCCAGGTCTTCCATAATGGAACCTGTAGTATTAATTGGTTGCAAAAAAAGGGCCTTCAGGCTGATGATGTGCAGCAGCCTTTAGTCATTAATCATCTTATTATAATATTATTATAAATTTCTCACTTTTTGTATGTCAGAGCTTTACAAAGAAATTCCCACTGATTTGCCTCCAGAAGCAAGACTAAGAACGTTATTTGATGTTTGTCTTGAGGTTAGTAACTTCTGTACATGTACCTGTTTACTCAAACAGGATAACTGTGTATAATTCAATGTAGGCACTTTCAACAATAATAACAAGGAAATAATGTTTTAAAGTTTCTTTTATTTGTTATTTCTTCACATTAGGATGCATTGGAAAAACTGGAGAATAGTTCATCTCAGTACAATGTTGATGGCATACCCAACTTCACTGCAGAAGGTACATTGGGTTAATAATATGCACATATACATAGTACAAAACTCACTGTAGTATCAAAGGAGTAGTTCCCCGTGTTACATATTCCCCTCTTGAATTGGTAGCTGTGAGTTGTTTTGGACAGCCTAGAAAAATGCTCATAGGTAGCTTGCATCTCATCAGTGCAGGGTTGCCACAAGTCAGGAAAATGGTAGGGGAAAAAATTATTGAAGGTCAGGGAAAAGTCAGGGGATTGACATTTTAAAGAAAAGTTAGGGAAAATTTAAATTATAACACCATTTATTTAATACCATTTGACGGTTTGAAGAAACATTTCAGGTCACTGTGCTCTCAATGATGCTTTTCCTTGATGAGAAGGCAAATTTGTGGAAAACTGATCAGTCCTATATGGATGGGTGGAAAGGACAGCTGTTAAAATTATAATATTTATTTGGAGAGGAAGCCACATCAGCTCTAGCTGGTTTTCATGCAGGTCCTCTTTCCTGGTCGAATTGGAACTAAGGGATGCTGGAGGCAGCTACTAAATATATCTGACACTTTTTAGTTAATTTTTATTTGGTCAGGAAAATTGTACTTTTATCAGGGAAAAGTCAGGGAATTTTGAAAACCAATGTCTGTGGCAACCATGCAAGGGGAGTAGATGTACTAAGCCCAACAGTGGTTGTAGGCTAGTTAGACTCAAGTAAAGACGACAATTTAAATTTGCAAAGTGCTTGCAACATTTCAATCTGTTGATGAAACACTAGTATGTAATTCCATTATTGCAGTCCAGGTTCAAGTGATGCAGGTCGCTTTGTTTTGCCATCTTGCTTCTTGCAAAAAAGAGGATTGCCTCTAGCCTGCTCAATGTATTAAAAATTCACAGGTTTCGAATTTTTCCTAACATGAGTTAGTAATGAGTGTATTTAATTTTTTTTCATCCTCGTTTAATTTTGTTAACTTTTGTTTGTTCATTTTCAAAGCAAAAGATGTTTTCAGCCAGTTGCGAACACTCATTCTGGACAGTAATATGGTTGATGAAGCATTTAAACCCCCAGACAAAACAATTTTAAAGTAAGTAGAAATGAAGTTACTTTTATTAAAATGTCAGGTACCAAAATGGCTGCAGTAAAGTCACGACAAATCTGAAATTTTACCTCTTCCTTTGATGCTGTGAGCCAAGACTTGGTTGTTCAAAACATGATTAAGCTAAAGCATAATAGAAAGAATTTGTGTATTTTTTCATTTTTCTGACCTTTTACTTACTATATTTTTTAATGTTAAGTTATGACATTGTGACTGATATCAAACTTCACAATAATGAGCAAAGAAGACCTATTTTACAACAATTGGCTTTTAGTCTTCTATTAGGTTGATTGGTTTTTAAACAACCAGGGCTAGTTATTTTAAGTGAATGTGATTTTCATTAAGTGATTGGCTGCACTGACCTTCAAATAGTAATAGCGGAGCTGCGGGAGCCTGAAGGGCTGCCAAGCAGAGCCCCATACTCATATAGGAAAGAAAAGGAAACCCCTGAGTTGATTTTCTCATGGTTATCATGGTTAGCAGTATTGCTCGTGGGCATGTACGCACAATGGCGACAACGACAACGACAGAGTCGCATAACATGGCGGCCATACTCAAAATAATAGGTTGACAGAGACATGCAGCCTTGGTTTACCATGTACTTCTTTGAGATTGGACATCCATGTTATGATCAATTGACACCTGTCAAAACAAGGTATCCGTTGACCAGTATCATGTGACCATATCGCAGGCTCAAGTTTATAGCTCATTGAGGTCGCATGTTTTTTTTGAAGTTGACCGCTGACCAAGTGCTGGTTTTTGATTGGATCACAGGCTCATCTGAGGTTAACTTGTTGAAAACAGGGCAGGATTGTTTGGAAGCCGGTTAACGCTAACCCAGGATTAAAAGTTAACTGAATTATAACTGTTTCTTTTATAGAAATGTTTTTTGCTGCTTTGTTTTGTGCTTATAGTGATTATTATAACTCAAAACAGAAGGCCAAACAATATACAGAAAACCTCAATGCAAAGTTACAAAACTCAAATCAAAATTCTACCTTTTCCTGGGTTAGCTTAATTTG